ATATTTGAGAAACATGGACCAGATCTTTCCATTGATACAGAGACAAAAATTCGGGCCTGAATTTTTTCGCTGACCAATCGCATTGCCAAGATTTGTTTTTCGCTTCGCGCGAATAAATTCGCCTACACAGCTATAGCAGTATTCAGTTACAACCACTGAGTCTGAGGGTTTATATAACATAACCATACACCCATACGGTTGGCACTATTTTCCATCCAGCAAACCGCCCTATCGCTTTTCTAAAGTCGTTTCTCTTTGGATTTTTTTTTTAATTCGGTAAGGGTTAGGGTTAGAGTTAGGGCTGCGGTTAGGGTTAAAATAGGGGTAGGGTTTGGGTTAATAGTTACATAGCCATTTAACACCTCTTCCATCTTCCGAAAATGACGTCAGGTCAGTTTGCTGGATGGAAAATAGTGCTAACCTAACCATACTCGGTCTGAAAATGTCTCGTGCTCTCAAACAAGAAGATGAACGAGAATTATTGAAGCTTTACGAAGCAGAGTTTAACCAGCCCGATCTACATGACCGAGTTTTAATATTTGACGTTGTCGCTTCATGGCCACTTAATGTACTAAATGTTGATGAAAATGAAAGAAATAAGAATGGAGCTAGCAGTCACAACAAAGATGGAAGCGATGGTGAAACAGCCGAAATTGACAACGTGGAAATAGCCCAAATAGGTATGATATTGATATGAATACAACCGATAAACGTGAAGCCAAAATCGCTTCAAAATATGCAGACAGTTAGGCCAAATAAAAAAAAAATACTTGGTTAGCGTCACCGCCCGCCTCTCAATTTTCTGCCGCCTCTGATTTTTTTTGATTTTTTTTTATGTAAATCTCTTCGTTTTACAGCTTAAAACAGTTTAATATTTGAAATTTTTCTCATGCTCAGACCTTCGCGCTATATACTGATCGATAGGAGTGCGTAGGCTTGGGCACAGAGTATATCCTTACTCTGTGGTTTGGGTATACAAGGTTCTTAAAGCAAAATGGCGGCCTTCGCAACATCAGTACAAAAAATATCACCGATATGGTGGAAAAACCGCCCCCCATCCCCTCCAAAAATACTATTAAAAATTAAAAAACGAGTAAAAATTTTTAAAAAAATCCGCCCGCCCGCCTCTGAAAATTTGTGAGAGTGTGACACTAACCAAGTATTTTTTTTTATTTGGCCCTAGTATAAGCTTGAACTGTCTTTGCCAATATAGGTAGTGTCAATAACATGAATAAGCTTTCGTTGGTAGGGATGCAACTACCTGAAAAATATTCGGGAAAATTACATGAGCTTTTATACCACAGATTATTAATATGTGTTTACAGTGTTTATATTATAAAAGCGATCACGTGACAAAAAAATAAACTAATGATCAGATGGATTTAGTCAAAACAAAATATAAACAAAAATACATAAATCGCACTACAGAATATATTAATACAAATATACAGAAAACTACAGCAAATACAACAAAATATATTAAAGTATGGAATAATGTAAGAATTAAAAGTACTGTCAATGTCTGCTATTCTTGGGTTTCATATGACGTCACAGAAGTGACGGGGGTCAACTCTAAAACAAAGCACAGTTATCTTAGTGAGTCGATTGTTCGTTTTATGTATTTGCCTTGTGTTTGGTGGCAAATACATGGAATGTGGTATCATTTTCTCACTCCAGTACAGCATAAGCATCAATACATTTGAGGTTGACCCCCCGTTAGATTCACTGCATAATGCCGTAGTGAAACCCAAGAACAGACAGGCGAATTGGAATGTTTTATTAACTTTGTTAATAATTTCCATCCAGCACTCCAGTTCACATGGGAGATCAGTGAGAACAGTGTATCATTTTTTGTCCAACATGGCTATCCCACCCATCCGAGTGTATCTAAAAGTCGAGGGTCGAGAGTAAAGGTCGAGAGTCGAGAGTAAATATCGAGAGTCGAGAGTAAAAGTCGAGAGTAAAAGTAGAGAGTAAAAAGTCGAGAGTAAAAAGTCGAGAGTAAAAAGTCAAGAGTCGATCGAGAGTAAAAAGTCGAGAGTCGATCGAGGTAACTATGATCGAGAGTAAAAAGTCGAGAGTCGGCAAATGTCATCAGAAAAAACAAAGTCAAAATATTTTTAACCACGTTTAACACAATCTATATATAGCTTAAGGTGGCTCCATACACTTTTTATCATCAGGAGACTGGTACCTAATCTTCAGTTTTTGCGCGAAAATATTAAAATATATGCAAAAATAAATACAACTTTTTCAGTCTAAAATCCGAACCACAAGTCATGTTTATTTTGATGTTTTGAGTCTTCCTTGTTCTCATTTGTTCTCAAAAAACAAACTTCGTCCTGATTTAGCCCCAGACATTGAATAACTAGTCTTTTTGGAAGACATTTTAAGGTGAAAAATGCAATGTTCAACGTTCAAACTCTTGTGAAAACCGGCGATCGGCCCGATCAGCAAAAAGTCTTTTACTCCAATATTTGGCGATTTATAAGTTCATATCCAGAATTTTTTGTACTTACAACCGGTAAATGTATTCAAAGTGTTACTAACAGCAAAGGATTCAGTGAAACAGCAGCATGCGCCGGCTCAAACTGTTTTAAATTGTCAACAACAACATGAAAACAAATATAGAACTATGTAGAGAAGCCAAAAAGTTCATACATGTCACACATATCTTATACCAAACGACACAATCACCTGTTTTCTTGACGTTATCCCGAGTTAGCATGCAAAACTAAATATATTTGCATTTCTAAGCAAGAAAACACAACATATATTTGATATTTCGACGAGACTAAAAACTTTTTTGTGCGAGTTTTTCTGGAGATGCGCCTGCGAAAACATGTACGCGCGCATGTCAATTCATTGATCTTGCAGAGCTCGAAAAACTTTTGGCCGAGCGAGTGAGATACCACAATAAAACGGCGTAATTCAAAATTTTGCACGGTGACATGTGGTGAAATTTTGCACAACGATAACTTCTTTTAAAACAAATAGAATATCAAAATTTTAGAAAAATCTGTAGATTGGAAAACTCTAAATCCGCAATTTTTTATTCTGGCTATTCTAATCTACAGAATTTTTTTATTTTCAGGGATAAGATTCCGCATTAAAAGTGAAAGCTATACAGCAGTTAAAAATGGGGTGTCACCGGCAATATTCGGAAAATAAATAATAAAAACCAGCTTAAAATAGCAAAAAATACCATATTTGGCGAGACTACTGTTACCATGGAAACAATATTATGTTCAAGAATATTGCAAATTTTTTCTACTAAATACTTAATTTATACTCGGGAATGCTTAAAATTAATAGATGAAGTGATAAAATTTATAAATTAAAATTTTTACGCAATAAGGTATTTATACTACGGAACTGTATGGAGCCACCTTAACATAGCCATTCCGTAACTGAAGTAGCAACGGCTGAAATACAAACTTTCCAATAATATTGCTACAACAGTCAATAATAATAACGTGAACAACTAAGATTGGATAAGAAAATAATATCGCATTTGATGCCTCAATCTTGCTAAATGTTTTCACATTTCATTCTAACTGACACATAAACTCCGCTGAATTTTGACAGCCATCTCCAGGCAGTGGCGGAAATCTTGGTGGGACAGGGGGGCGGCCGCCTCCCCC